TTCATTTTTATGAAGGATTCCTTGTCAGAAAAGACTTAAAACCACACACTGAAATGCATGGGGAATTCAGCAGACAAGATTTCAGTAAACGTGTGAGATTGCTTACTATATTCGTTCGAACAAAATTCTTACACTGCATACCAGCCGTTGGTACATATTTACGAATGGCCTTTAGTAGATTCAAAAAGCTGAAAATGGTTTGGTCCATTGGATCTCACATTTACTATGTAACGAGAGATTTTCTGGGTTGGTTATGTCCCCATAAGCACGCTGTATGGTTAGATGTGATTTATCTACAATATATAAGTTATTTAATAACAAATACGCAATAAAAGCCCCCCAGAGTAGCAGAGATTCAGACACATACGCCTAGTCTCATGTTCTTAAACTAAATTACCTGCCGTGTAAGTTACTTCAGTCTTGATGTATTTCTGTACACTGAATGCTATCTACTTCTTTTTCATGACTACCTGAGCACCATGAGGTTTTGAATTCTGAAAATGAAAATGATTCCGAATTATTGTAAATCTGCCGGTTTAAGTGGAATTCATTCTGACGTCATATTAAGATTGATTATTAATAACCTTTTGGATGGTAAGGTCAGAAAAAGCCTAAAAGAGACTCGTCAAAACATCTGTGGTACAGCATGTAGAGCGAGTGGAGATCAGGCTTGTCCTACATAAACACATACAAATTTTATTGTCCAAAAGAGGAAGTTGTAAAATTGAATACCACATAAAATATGAAGGTAAACAACCCTGGCTTCAGGCTGTTATCTTTTCACTCTAACAACAGGCTTAAGACCAACTGTTAATCTCAAACATTTGGCTGCTACGATCTTAAAATGATTTTAAGATTGTTTGCCTTTTCATACTCTGTTTTCTACCCAAGATTCTGAAACACTTATAAGTATGTATGACATTTAGAGTTGAATGGAAACACTAGGTTTTGCTTGTGCCCTAACTCTTCAAAAGGTCTTTCTCTGGATATATGACCGGAAAAACGGAGAGTTCCTTTTACTTAATACCAAACGATGCGGGCGGTAAATAGCTGTGATAGAGATTCCTCGTAATTTTAGGGTGTTTTTGAGATTATACTCTCTATTACACAAAAGAATATGAAATCACCATATGTGATACTCTCTGAATTTCTTCCGGATGACATTATGTAGCCATTAAAGAAAACCAGGTTAAAGGTTTCTTTCTAGAGCATTAGTAGCCTAACTACGTAATATTTCCAGACAATTTTCAATGTGTACCGAAAATTAAATTTGGGTAAAAACAGAAGCATGACTTCTCTCTAAAGGCAGCACATTTTCGGGACATGTTTAAAGATTTATCAAGAAGACACTCGAACTGAAAATGAAACCCTATTCACTTACTCTGGAGGCTTTAGATTTACAGTATGTACAATACAGAAGGATTAAAGGGTGCATGATCGAGAATTCTTATATGGATCATAATCTTCGTATCAACAGACTACCTCAATCAAGTAATATATTTAAGAGATCATCCATTATGTATAGATTGCGGAAGACTAGCAAAATGTCATGCTAGGATTCACACTACCAAAACCAGTTGGCTGTCGGACCCCCAAAAGAAAAACTATCAGTGGTACCTAGATTTCGCAGGAGCAGGCTCAATGTTTACCTTGGTTCTACAAGTATTGATTTCGGATTACTACCCAAAAACCACTGTTGACGATATTAAGAAACTAAATAGGAATGATAACTTTGAATAACCATGAACGCTTTCTCAGCATCCAGATGCACATTCCAAAGAACAGACAATTCGTTATTCTGGCTTATCATAACTGAAGTTCGTATTTTAAAATATCAGTTTTTGTAACAAGGTACAACGGAACACTTTGCTATAACATTTATTTACAGAAACGTAAGTATAAGCGTGAAAAACGCGATTTAATAAGCTGAGAAATTCTCACAACCAAGGCTAAAAAAAGACGGTCTTCTTCAGACACTCGAGATAAGTTGGTAGCACTTTTCGTTCTAGCAATTTACAGTACACCTTGTTAGTCATAAACTTCTATTTTTTCTGGGTATTATTGTATCTAGTTTCTTTTTGAAAACCTCTGTTTCATGGCTCAACAGTGCAAGAAAAAAAATGCCGATACCCGTTGAAAGCGGCATGCAGTGAGACAAGTGGGAAGGCCGGTACCACGAAGTTTACACGAATCTAATGCCTGAGACTTTCAAACGGTTTAGTACAAATGGTTGTGTGTGGTTTTGCCAGCAGTGTTGCTCGAATACAAACAGCTTGTCAGCCATTACACTGGTAAGTGCTGCTAAAAAGTGTATTAGCAAACGAGGTCGGGACACATCGGACAGTACTCGATCTGTCGACACAAGTCGATTTGAAGCAGCCTCAAGCGACGTCGGAAACAACTGACTCACGTCGATCTAGGGAGGAAAGACTGATTTAAAAGAGGTTTATCCTAAATAAAACCTTAAGAAATGAAGTTTCCTTTCCCCCGTCTTTTAAATGGTAGTTGTCAGTAAACCCTAAAAATCCCGGTCGCAAGGCTAGATCTGTTTCTACCAGTAAAAACAACCTGACTGCCCATGTTACCGATAACCTCTCGGAATCCCGCAGTGTGTTTGATGAGACTATGGCTACTACTCCAAAGAAATGTAATAATTGGGCACAGCTCGAGAACAAGAAACGACGTAACACTATTAGAGGAAATTCAACACAGCAAAAGTAGCTGACAAATTAGAGATTGATCACAGTAACAGGTTAGTTATCTTTCATAGAATCAAGGAGAATAAAGGCTCAGAACCTAAAACTCGTTTCGAGTATGACATTGGGTCGACAAAACAGCTACTAAATCAGCTTATGCATCAGGATATCTCCGGAGTCACTTTTCTAAGGATGTATAGACTAGGTAGCCAAACGAATTTGAAACAAAACCAAACCAGGATGCTTAAAGTCGTATTTAAATCCCTTAATGAATGGGACTTAATAACACAGAATGAACACAAACTGAAGGGTTCGGGAGTTTTTTCCGCAAGGACTTATCGCTCGCAGACCGTGTAAAAAGACGAGAAGCCGAAAAAGAACTAAAACGTAGGTTAGATGCTAGCGAAAAGGACCTAAAAATGGTAAATTTTTGGGTTGTGACACTCCGACAGAGGATGGTTCCGAAGCCATTTTGGGTACAGCACGAAGCCATTTAATAGGCTTCGGAACTGTTACACAAATGAAAGAAGCTTGCTCAATAGGCGGTCGGAGCTAGGAGTATAGATTGACTCTACCAAGCCAGGTATAATCAGTCACAGAAACGTGACTGGCGCAGCCTATAGATAGTATGGAACTTGACTTTGAAGGTTTTACGTTGGTAAGAGCCGATAGAATAAAGAGACTTAGAGGAGGGGGAGTAGCTTTATTCATTAGGAATACTATCCCATTTACCATTATTGACAGTGTATCCTATGAGAGTGGGATAAGAGCAGCCGATTGGTTTGGTCTGCCGTGATCCGAGCTGTGAGGTAGATGAGATCTTGCTAGACCGTCTCAATACTTGGTCAAAAAAATGGTCGATGTCTAATTTCATGAGAATTTAATGCACCTACGGCAGACTGAAAAAATCTGGGAACAAAATTGTCAGGAAATCCTCTCGAGTAGGAACTGGTTGATGCGGTTATCACATGTGTCCTAGTACACCAGGTGAAAGAAGTGACTGGGTACGATCCAAACTCCAAATCATCCTTACTAGATCATATATTGACCCATTATATGGATGACTTCACGAACCTCGATTGCATGCCACCCTTAGGTAAAAGTGCTCATGCAGTTCTAACCTCTGACTTTCATATAGTTGTCAGAAACAAGCACATGTCAGCTCAACCCACACCTAACATATGTAAAGCAAATATACAGGATATTACATACTCAGCATCGTCAGCAGATTGGACAATAGAACCAGAGTCCCCGACTGAAACAGCTTGCGATGTATTCCAAAATGTATGCCTAAAGGGTACTGCTTAGAACTTCAAAACGACCTGAAGAAATTATCTGAATGTTCTCAAGCTTAGCAGTTGCCGATAAATACTTCCAAGTTCATTAAGCTGTATATTGGTCACCAAGATACAGATGGATACATGGTAAACAACATTGAGCCATCTGTTGTCCAGACACACAATGACTCAGGATTCATTATAAGTCAAGGCCTAAAAAAGTATTTCACACTGCTGTGTGATAGCCGCAAAAGGTTTTGGGACTCTACGGTTAATACGTAGGACCATTAGCCATGTCGTAGATAAAACATTTTAATTTGTATACAACATTCGTGTGTCCTAAGCTAGAGTACTGCATACAAGTGACTGGCCTCTGTTTAAAAAAAGACAGCGAACATTTGGAAAGTGTTCAGGGAACAGATGCTAGGCTGATTCCCGGAATAGCTAGGCTCCTGTATGATGCTTGATTGGCTTAACCAAAACTACTTCCTTTGTCAAATCGAAGAACCAGATGTAACTTGACTACAGTTTTCAAATTACTTGGTGATAAAGTTGCATGTGATACGCTCTCATGTTTCTTGTCTTCCAAAAGATAGAATTTACGAGAACACTGCAAAAACGTTCTCAAGCCCAGGACAAATTACTTGTCAGCTGAATATCGACTTTCCCACTGAAATATCAGCGGGTGGAATTCATTGCCTCAATACACTATTAAGGTTCCATCTGTTGACTTTTTCAAAAGAAAGTTGGAGCGACTGAGAGACCATCAGTTCCAGGACTGACACAGGTCAACAAACATCCTATCCCTTCCAAGCCGATAAACAACAGTGGTTCTGAAAATTCCGTCAACGAATTGTATTCCTTTTTATTACTGCAGAACATAATAATAAGCCGCATTTTTTGTTCCCTCCCATAACTACTTGTAGTGATTGTATCCTGTAAACTAGGATACCATATTTTACTGTGTTTTAGTTCTCTACTCTATTGAAGGCGGGCTAATTACTTGAGATCGTGTTTTTGTGCTGCAATGTCAGAGAAGAAGGCAGATGTCCCACAGTTGTCGACAAGGAACTGGGTTCGAGTTACACTGACAGCCGCCAGTGTCAAACCACTTGAGAAAGTCACTGATGGTCTTATCAAGAAGGCGAAAGATCAAAATCTGAGGGTTAAGGGCCCTGTACGTATGCCAACAAAAGTAAGTGGATATTTCCTCTAAACTGTTTTCTAGGTGTTACGAATCACTACGCGAAAAACACCATGTGGTGAGGGCTCAAAAACTTGGGACAGGTTTCAGTTCAGGATTCACAAGCGTGTAATTGACCTATTGTCGACGGATGAAGCTACCCAACAGCTTAAACACATATATCTAGAGCCCGGTGTTAACTGTGATGTTAAAGTCGCAGGAGATTTGTAATTCGTAATAAAGTTTTCTTAACGGATATGTAGCTTGCTTTATATCTCGAAAGATCAATGTAGTTAAGACATCCTATATGGGTTAATATTATTTAGACATGCCTCGAATGATAAACTTTTGTAGTTATGTTTTTAAATATCAACATTCTAAAGTGATATGTCCTCTAGAGCGACTGAACTTGTGATGATTATTAGTAATGTTTATTTGTGCGGACGGCAACCCAGAACTTTTACATATTATCGGCTAGCTCATGTCTGTTGGAGTTAATGGTTATATTTAATTTGGAGCGCTTCACTATCTAAATTGATAAACGCTGATCATAACCATTTGATTCTCAATCGTTGTGCATGGTTTTTCCCCATATTATTCGATCATAGCTACAGGTTACTTCGTCGTGGACTTTAGCAAGATTGTCCTATCTCTTGAGTTTGTTATGTCTCGAACTTACCCTCTATTCGCGCGTGCTAGTGGTTTGGAACGACTTTCTTATGTATAGGAACGTCATGATTTTGTATCAATCTAGTTTATAAGCCGAATCTTTAATTATTTATTTGGAGCAACTTACATTCTTTAACATCAAAACTGGTTGGGGTCGCATTATTAGCTTACGTTGTTCTCAGTAATTGAAGTATATCTTAAAATATTTCGATTGTTGTATTCTTAGTATGGTTGTCTGTTTTAATACTATTAATGAAGAGTGATGTCATCCACATATTAGTAAAATACGACGCCGTCGTGAGTGAAATGCCAAACTATTTGGATATTGGGTTTTGGAACGTTTACAAAAATTTAACAAAAAGGTACTAGTTCTGACGAGGTTATGTTGTTTCTTACCTGTAGTTATGGTAGATGTTTTCTTGATGTACTTCGTTCTTCACTCATTTGGTTACCGTAAATGAACATATTAATTCACAAGGGTTCTCCTATGATTTCTGAAAACAAATCAATGAAGGCAACGAACTAATCATTTTTAGTATCAACAAAACAATATAGCTAACATTCACCGTCGTTGATACCGTACTTCTGGTAATCCACAGTTGATTATCATTTAAGTTCTGACAGCAGGGAATTGTAATGAACGGTAATTTCGAATGACATACTGTATAGTGTAGTCTGGTTATTTTGTCATGTTTCCCCAAAAGGGTTGATTTTGGATGCTTTTTCCTATATTACGTGCCTAGTTGTTAACCTGAGCTTAAAGCTAACCCAATCTATCAAATATTGGTCAGCCTATATAACAGAATCATATTACTGGTAATATTAGTTTCCTTTACTGAATAGTAAACATAATCTCAAGAAAAAAGATTCATACTGCATAGGAATCCAAATGTGGGTAGGAACCAAATCAAATGTATGATACACGTTTTGCTAAAATTCTAACATCATAGTCCACAGGTTGTGTGAGTGTGGGACTATAGTCTTTAGAGAATAACGTCTTATACTGGTTATACTTATGTAAAACAGCTTTTTTTATTACTGACCGTTCATGCTCCTCAGAGGCTATGGAGATAGATTATCTTTACATTCAAATAATTTGGGAGACGGAAAATCGTAAGTTTTTGGTTTGAACATAAAACATAATCATGTCCCACCCACATCTATATTTTTCGGAATACAAAATAGTCAATCTTCACTGAAGTAGTTGTGACATTGAATATACTTCAGAACTTGTTTTTCTCAGATTCGTGCTGCATTTAGTTTCAACGTCTCATTGCTTTTAGAAGCCCCATATAGCTAGAGCTACTAGAAGTGGTCATTAGAGTTCAGTTGTGAAAATATACAATACCACCGGGTTTATAAATTATCCAGATATCCTAATTTTGACTGAATAGTACTTTCCCATACTGTTTTGTGTTTGAAATTCCATTATAGGTGCACCACTAATAATAATGAGGATTGGCATATTGTTCGACCCAGGGTAACAGGTATTCAGTCATTTTAACTTATCCTTCAGCGAACCTGTTATTTTCTCAGAATTGTCGCATCCACTGAGCGAGACATTAACTAAACCATCTTACTGTTCCCAGGAGTCGATGATTACGTATGTGATGACTGAAAATAATAGCAGAGTTGTTGATATTACAATTAACTTTACGTTTTGAAAGACAACATCCATAATAATAATAATCTATCAGATTCTGTTATAGGAAATAACCTCGCAGCGTACCACCATTGCATTGAAAATTAGCAATGCCTAATGGGACGTTAATTCGTTTTCCGTACTATCTGTTGTGAAACAATTATCTGAGTTAAGTTATTATTTATCGTTTTGGTAAGGATGTGTAAATAAGTCAGAAAACTTATAAAGCAAGTCTATGGTTGTAGGAGTGTTTGTGGAATATCGGTTATGAAGATAAATACAGCACATACGAGCTACATTATTTTCATCAATTAGTGAGATAGAATGTCATTGGTGACTTTTGGATAATTGGTTATACGTGTAATTAAGTTTACTTCCTAATAAACTTTACACTAGGTACAGATAAAGTATTTTAACATGAATAAACCTGTGCACTGTGAGGGGAAACCTATATTCTAAAGGGAACAGTATCATGTCAACAGGTGTAGTGTCATTGATTCTGATTTCTCTTAAAAATGCTGTACTATTTCCTCATTGAAGCTTTGACCAAATAACTGTCCTTATTTCTTGTATCTAGCTTCTCTGGTCTCTGACTTGAAATCGGTTGTCATCGAACCTGCACTTCAAACGCAATATAAATAGCTATGTATTTGATACGGGATATATGTCATTGTGTCTAGCCTTTTATAACTCCAGGATCTGTATACCAGAAAATTACAAATCAACTACCATTCTATAAACGTTTGGTACACCAGCTTACTAAAAGGGGTTCGTACTATTACGTGCTATTGGGTTCATTTGTAATGTTCAACAGGGAGACTGTCTTAATGAAGTATGAACTTGCCATACATAGCTTTGCATAAATGTTAAGACTTTTAATGAGTAAATTGTTTGATATCAAGATTTTTTATGTATCGAATAAATACATCGTCCTGATATAAACAAGTAAATCAATTATTTGAAGTAGTCTTTGTCCAGAGACTATGCCCTTACAAGAATAATAATTCAAGTTAAGATGAAAACCTGAATAGCCAATTAGAAGGTAAGTACTTTAAATCTTGGTATGAAGTGAGTTTCGTTTCAGTGTCAGTCATCTCTGTATTCAAATAAAATGTTAAACTATAATCACCTACATGTTAGGATGTTTTTTTCAATCATATCCGTTAACAGTGATGATCTGATAGCATCGAGTCTTTATTGACAAACAGTATGAAACATGCTATCAAGTTCCGATAAGCCATATATATATATATATATATATATATATATATATATATATATATATATATATATATATATATATATATATACTATTTAATAAAGAAAAGCACTGCGACAGTCGTGCGTACAGTTTTGAAAAATCGATTCGAGATTGAGATCCGTACTCAGTCGATATGAGGGACTTGCTTGTATCCATTTTCGGTTGTCCATTTCCAATTAGCATTGCTCCTAAGTGAGGTAAACTATGTAGAACACCATATTAAATTAGTTAATTCACTTCAATACAATGTGGTGTAATAATTAATATAGGAGTTAGCACGAATGTGCATCAGTCCAAGTTTTTACAATAGATCAGCATAAGTAGTTTTAGTGATAGTAAAAAAGATTAGAAGTAGGGAATATATATCAAGAGAAGAGAGTGAAATAAGGGAACAACGCATAAAAAGTAATATTATAACCCAAGATCCAAGGGGTGGGAAGTAATCAGTGCATCTGCACCACTGTGACCTTTTACGATTCAGCCACCTGATGCCTCCAGTCATTGGTCAAGACTATCAAACAGAAACTAACTACATAGTGCGGACATACTAGCACAGTTTAGACCAATATGGGAAGAAGTTCATTCAGAATAAAAACATGATATAACGTGTAAATAGAAAAAGTCTTTCAAAACTTATTTCTAGATCTGTTTAATAGCTAGGGACGCCATATTTCTATTTGTCCATTAATATAAATTGGGAATAAATTATCTAAATTTTGTGGATTTAAGACATTTATAAAATTTGTATGTCTGTAGCGTGAGAATACACTAGCTCGATCGCTGAAATCAATAACTTCTGACTATCCAATAATGAAATATTTTTATAGGGTACCGGACTGTTTTAAATTAATCAGTTTACTTATTTGATAAACAGATACGATTGCCAATGTCTCTAAACAATATGTCATCTAATTAATCAATTTTACGTTGCATATCAGGTTTACAACTCTTATTGTTATTACTTTTAACTGAAAGCAATAAGAATAGGTATTTCATTAAATGCAATGCAAGCATATATCACAGTCTATAGTTAGTTAGTTGTTTGCAGAATAGAACTTGGGGCATACATGAATCAGTTTAAATTGTCACACCATAGCTAGCTTAAGTTAATAAAACGAAAGGTAGCAACAGTACTAGGGGTGATAGAAAAGACTCGACACAAATGATAAGATTCGAGAGGAAAAAAACTTATAAAACAGATAAATAAGAGATAATTTTAACGCTGAATACCTAATACAAACAGTGAATGCATCTAAATCGCTGTGGTTGATTCTGAGCCGTGACACTCAAAGTCCGCAACCATTGGTTACAATAATCTCTTATATCTCAACCTTGTAGTCTGCTCCTACAAACAAGTTCAATTCAACAGTCGATAGCTTCACGAACTGATACTATGTTTTGGTTTGATCACCTCTAACTTTCTTACAATTTACTTCTAAAACAGATAAATCAAAATTGTAAAGCTGTGATTTGATAGCTCGGATATTTTATTTACTGATAATTTCTATATATCGAATAACGTTTCATTTACACATTAAGGGAGTAATAAAACATGTATGCAAATCATATTTTGCTTCACCAATAAAATATTCTCAATTACTTCATTGTAATAAAATGAAGCTCAAAAATAAGACTAATTTCAATTATATCTTAACAAGAAATGATTTAACATCAATCAATCAATGTTTTTCTCTTTGTTATATCTAGAAGATTGTTCTTGATATACCGCGTATAACGTGAGCACTAGAACGCCAGAATCCTTCCAAGTCGCAATGAGAAGACAAAAGACTAATGAAAGGAATATTATTCCCAGACAGTGTCAATTATAGTACAAAATTGTCAGGTATTTATAGTTTTTAGTAAGAACAAAATCATTATTTCAGTTCACCAATCCGCATACAGGGGGTTATTAGCATTGCCCAATCGAGAAGCTGCACACAAGAAATCTAGAATACTCCTCTGAAAGGTAATTGGATGGAATATCTTCGGCTCCTTCTGAGCCTCCTACAGCTTCCTCGAGTTCACCCGTGGTCCATCGTCACACTTTTTTATCTATATTATTTCAAAATGATCCCTTTGAATCGAGAATTATATTTGATTGACCAATTATTTACACTATTGTCAAGTTACTTAGCGTAATATATTTTGCAGATATTCTGAGTAATAAACATCTAAAGGTTGTCTACTGTAGACTGGTTGTAGTCATTTTCCGCTTTTCCGTTGCTCTTAACAATGCTTTAACTTTATCCACCATATTTCTTGTATAAGTATTCATTATCTATTTAAGACATATGTAAAACAATGAAAGCATAATGAAACAGTGGTTTAATAGTGAAAGTAATCAATTTTCAACCATTGGGTTGGAGATTCAAAACATACTTCGACTTCGGAGGCACAGTAGTATTGCTTTCCGTTGTGCAAAGCGCACAACATAAGACAGTACACATACCTGTACTAGGTAAATGAGTTAAATAAATGTACACAGCATTTCCGATTGTATTATTATTATTACTATTACTATTATTAGTTTTGTAAATGCATGCTAAATTTAGTTAGCACCTAATTCATTTCAGGGTTCCTTGCTTGATTCATATTATAATCTTTAATCAAATGTTTCATTAAGTTTGTAACTGCATTATTACCTTACCCACCGTATGTGTTCCTCATGTTTACTGTGATTATTATTCTCATAATTTTAGCTGACATATAGGCTCACCCAATTTAACATTGTATACTAGCCATTTCGATATTAACGGTTTTATTTTATTTTACCTACAATCTTAAATTCATATGCTAGAAAGATGAATATATTTTACACTTAGATATCCCTTCGGAAAATTAATTTAGATTAATAGTTGTAGGCACTGATCGAAATTTATTGAAATAAATATTTCTCCTCCATATATTTGTGTTTTTCAAAATAATGGGAATTTTTTAAACAATTTAAAATTACAATTCTTATCACATTTTACGGTTCTGTAATTCAAGTTTCACCTGTAAAATCTTTCACGAGCCTTTCCCATCTTTAGTTTTCTTGACTCCACAATCTATTCAGCATCATTTATGACCTATGCACAAATTAAAATATTTTAAATAACTGAAAACAATCGTTTTTTCTTTTACCACCATCCAGAAAATATGCTGTTTGAGATTAGAGTTCATCTGATCTGCGAACGGAAAGAAGACTCAGTGACACAATGACCAAATAAGCTAACTATTCCGATGCTTCCAAGCCCTGTTAACTAGAGAGAGAAGTTCAGGTTCAGAAGAGGGAAAATGTATCCCACAAGCATCTAGAAGCACGAACAACAGCAAACACAACTCAAGTGCATATGTACAGCATAAAAATGTCCTTGAGAAAAGTTACAAAATCGCATATTAAAAGAGACAACCAATCAATAACATTTAAGGTCCTCTCAAGTGGGAAATACGATATGAAGACGAAAATGGGCGCTTTTGTCTCTAAAGAAGGAACTGAAACTTCCAAAATGAAATTACAAAAATATGACATTTACTAAGTGGTTTCTGGGGATCTAGCATTTTTTAGTTTGTATTACTAACTGAGAAGCACTGGACGGCTGTCTCATCCCAGAATGGAATTTCTCAACAGTGGGCATCTACGATCCCACAGAAGACCGAAAAGAGTACTTTATAGTCTCACGACGGGAGCTTGAACTTTAGACGGCATCCAGTGGTTTGAGTTATTAACTCCAATCGATTCGCAGTATTTCAAAACTATCTTTCAACGTCATTGGTGTATACTTAACACTTCAACTCCTGCATAGTTTGGCTCCATTGGTCACGGCTTCCCGCTAGTGCTCCAGAGGTTAGCGCTCAAAATCACTCACTACCGAACACAGGATATGATTAGTATAGGGAGTTGGCAGAAATTGCTGAATTAAATAGTTTACATCAGAGACAGTAATCGTCTAACTAAGGCCAGTCACTGATGTGAACTATTAAGTTCAGCAATTTCCACAAAACCCCTATACCAAACTCTGTTGTTAGACATGGGAGTATATCCAGCTAACTATGATGTACTTAATTGCGCCTTTTACCCCTGGTGGAGGAGCACAGAATACTCACCACCATTCTCCATTCAACTCTGTACTAGTCAAACATTTACATTTGTTCCTAGTTGCTATTCATCCTTTTCATGTCTGTTTCAAATTACCGACGCAGTGTGTTCTTCGGTCTTCCTTTTTTCCGTTTCCATTCAGGATCCCAAGTTAGCGCTTACTTCGTGATGTAGTTTGATGATTTCCGTAATATATATCCTATCCACTTCCAACGTCTTTTCCTAATTTCCTCTTCAGCTCAAAGCTGGTTAGTTCTCTCCCACAGTAGGCTATTGCTGATGGTGACATTAAGTATCATGCGTGGACAGTTGTTTATAAATACTTGTACCTTTCCGATGATGGCTGTGATATTTTTCCCCGTTTCAGCTCTGCACAGTAGAACTGTCTCAGAGTTCGTATTGAGGATTGTGATTTTGATATTAGTTGATAGTTGTTTGAGCTTTATATGTTCTTCAACTGTAGGAATGTTGCCCTTGAGTTGCTCACCCTTACCTTTACGTTTTCATCGGATCCTCCCTGTTCGTCGATGATGCTGTCAGGTACGTGAAAGATTCCACCTCATTCAGAGTTTCTCCATCAAATGTAATTGGGTTAGTGTTCTCCGTGTTGTATTTTAGGATTTTGGTTTTCTCCTTGTGTATGTTGGATACTACTGATGCAGAGGCTGCTGCTACACCATTTGTCCTCAACTGGATTTGTTCGTGTGTATGAGATAAAAGGGCTATGTCATTTGCGAAGTCCAAATCGTCTAGTTGCATGCAAGCTAACTGTGAAGATGATAAATATGTCATTACATTGACATATACAGTTTTTGAGTTGTAAATATTTTTCTCATCATCCTATTGGTTATGTGCGTGTTATTAATATTAGTGCTATAACATAAAAAAAATCACTTCAAGTTAAGTGATTAAGGGATCTTGTGGTTTATTTTTGTTGCCAAGTTTTATTCTCGATCTATTTTAACAAATCACTAAAAGAATGTTCTTCGTTCAATAAATTAAAAACACCTCAGATTATCTAAATTTATTGTTACAATAAACAGTAGTGAATTGTCACATCGTAGAACCCGACACTTATTTTCTTCGCGATAACTCCTTATCGACCTTTTCACTATAGTTAAAAATTTCAAATCAATAACCCATGAGAATAAAGTAAGTTTAAAATTGCAAAATATATGTTTGGATCTAGAATTTTCTCTAATTAAATGAGTTTCTGAGTGTTGAAGTGAACTAACATGTAATATTTACCTGTATTAGTTTCTAAGTTAATCTTTAAACTTTTAATTTAATCATTCTTGATAAAATAAGAAAAAAAAGATTCTTACTCACTTCTCCTTGTGTTGCATATGGTTTCTCTGCTACATTAACTTTTCCTTGTTATCTAATCATATTATTAGAAAAACGTGTTTTTTATTCAATCTATGTTCTCGAAAAATCTCTCCATTTATTTTCATCATACTACTTACTTATTCAAAGTAGCCTATATACACTTTCATAACTTTTCTTGGTTTTTGCTTTATGAATGCTAATTTGTCTTATATTAATATCCTACATTTCCAGTACTTCTTTAATGTTCTCATTTGTGGCAACCTAGATAAAATAAATCATAAAAAACCTGGTTACTTACTGATTGAAACTAACATTGGTTAGTTATTCTGTGGTAAAATATGTTAAGCATTGACAATCGATATCATTTTAATGATCCCTTTATGATTTGCTTTAGAGCATAATTTAATAAGAATCAAAGAAATGACTTACACAATGTTTTTTTTACAAATAATTAGGGTTCAGAACTGACGTAAGTCTTTTAATCTGGTTTGTATTGGTCAAAACTCACAGATTCTTAATAGTTTTTATAGTCGAACTTGATTATTGGAAATAATGTTATAGAGTTATAATGTCAAAATTAGTATTTCTTGAAATCATAAAAGTAGAATTTACCTAAATGTGAAATGACAAAGTCCATCGTTTATCATAAATTTTTGGGTCTTCCAGTTATTCGTGTTAAAAACTGAAGTTTAATCAGTTTCTCTTGGAAAATGTACGCTCTGAGTGGATTGCCTCGACATTGCCCTTAGGTTACAAATATCAAAGTAAAAATGGATAGCAAATAGCAGTGGAATCCAGAATGAACAATTCTCCTCACTCAGGACTCATGAACAGGCTGTATGAACTCAATAACTCGGTTATTTAAAAGAGTTTAAAACTAAACTGACCAGTGAGTTAACATGTATCCTAGATTTCATCAACATTCTCAAAATGTATAACTAGTTGTACACGTTAAATGAATTCTGTCAGTCAATAAAAAGAAAGGATTTGAACACAAAGTATCTGAGTATGTCCTTTTGCTTGAGTGAACATAAAACAGTGGATTTTAGCCCTAATTTAAATGTACATGAATGTTTCCTGGGACATATATATTCTGACTGAATAAATGCATGAAATTATCTTATCTTCTTGTTATCAACTGATTTATAATCCCGTTTAAACGAACGAAACTTTGCAATTTTATAGTCTCTTGAATCTGTGAAATTTAGATCATTTGTTGTTTGTCGTTCATATTTATGCAAAACATGCTAAGTTGGAAAAGTCTAAGCCCCCAAATGTCCTGGTACGGTCGAGAGTGAGGAGGCCCCTCCTCCCTGTTGAAATGCTCTCATATGGTCACGCGTATACAGTCTCTGCCAGGGAAGTCCTACTCACTGCCCTCTCGTGGCAGGGGTGTTGGTTACGGAATTTAGAGGACGGAAAGCGAATGTCCGGCGCTTTAACCGGGCCGGTGGACACGGTGAGTCCACCTAGGGGAGTTGGGAAACCCTGACTACAGACCAATGTTGCACATGGGCTCCAGTATCCTGAAGGAACAAATGGCGTATGAATCAACTGTTTGCTACCGGCTACCATGGGACTGCATCTTCTCACGATGCTCCACTGCTTTGTGGGTCAGAATTTTAGGTCAAAGACTCGGGGTGTGGCCCCCTAAGAAAATCACGTGCTTCGGTCTGGGCACCCGGGCAGTATCATGGCCCTCACACAATTAAAATGAAATGATTATTGGAAAAGTTTGAAAGAATTCACGCAAACGATTGTTATTCAGTTATCGTAATGTTTATATTTCTCGTGAAGAGTGCAATGAAATAAAAATAATTTCACTAGGCTAGTAACCATCTACCGGTCAGTA